CCGGAGCACCTGCCGCGGGTCGGGTCGAAGCGCCAGGGGCCGTTTAGCGCCCAAAGCCAGCCGGGGCATCGCCTAATTTCCGCCTCTGCCTCTCGCCCCGCGCAGGCCATCGTCTACGAGGGCCAGGACAAGAACCCCGAGATGTGCCGCGTGCTGCTGACCCACGAGATCATGTGCAGGTGAGTGTCGGTCTGCGGGCGGAGGGGCGCGGGGGCGCGGGGTCTAGGCGCCGCGGCGCCAGCGGCGTCCACAAAGGCCGGGGCGTCCAGGCGCCGCCATCGATTGAAATGTAATCGGCCCGAGCCGGCCATTTGAGCGCCCGGCCGGCGAGAGAGCTGCTTCCGCGGTTTCTCCCCGCGCTAAGGGCCTTGCGAGCGACCGGCGCTCGGCCCAGAGGCTTCCTGTGGGCCGTGCGGCCGCGCTGCAGGCAAGCGCCGAGAACCGGCCTTGGGCCGTGCCTCTGTCCGCCCCGCTGGGCCAGCAGGGCTGTCCTGAACGGCCAGTCTGTCCACTCCCTGCCACGGCCCCGTGGCCAGGCCCCGAGGAAGAGGAAACTCTTGTATGTATTCTGGAGCGCGCGTGCGTTTGTGAGAATTGGACGGTGGTTCTGTCGGTTAACCTCGCCCCCAGAGCAGCGAGGCATCCCTCCTATTGCTGTTAGATGGTGTGCGCCTTACTAGAGATCTCTGTCAGCTGAGCGATTTCCCGCCTGTTTTTTCCCTAACTACTACCGCAAGAGTTTCACCCTTACATGGCAAATAAAAATGCATCATTGACTTTGTGTGTGTGGCATGTGAAATATAGTGGCGAGGAACGGTGGTAAGGCGGTGTGGTGCGGCATCCTAGCTACAGTGACGGGCCCAATACTCTGAGGGGCACACTCCGCCCGGCTATGGTGCAGCCTGCCTCCCTGCCATGTCTAAGCAGACATATTGTTACAGCACTAATATACAAAAGCTGACTTTTTCTCATATCAGGTAATAAATATAAATTACAACCAATAAAGTGGAATTTCTTTATTATCCACTTCTGCATGTACTGCAATTAACATAGACAGCGCGCAGATGTGATTTAAACTGTAAGTGGGAGACTGTAGACTTTCTTTAATCACTTTAGCTGTCAGCTTTAAAAGGCTTTATATACTTTGCCTACCATATGGTGTTAATTTAGCTAATTTAGACATGTAACCATTATACAAGTATGCTTTTTTAAAATGCAAGAAGCATAACATTTTTGTTTCATTTCTGCTTTAATTAAAGTTTCAATCACGGAGTTAAGGTAGGCTTATAGCAGGCACAATAGATGGTGGTGGTGGTGGTTTGATGCATGCTTTTGTGGTTATAATTAATAAATGCCCAAAAGAAATATTGGTGGAAGGTGGCATCTTGCATCTTTTCCAGAAATAACAGCTTGACAATTAGAGGTAAACAAAAGCCGAGGCTGTGAAAGTGATTCCCAAGCCTCCAGCCCCTCTCTTCCTTAGTTCACTGCAAAGGCAAACACCCACAGCTCCTTTTCCATATTTTTGCATCACAATTTCTCCAGGCGCGCTCTGGGTACCCCTCCTTGTGGTGGAGGGTCTGTCTGAGGCCGTTCTTTCAGTTAGAAAGTTTCAGCCCAAGTTTCCTTGCCCAGAGAGCCCTGGCTGTGAATGTGCTCAAGCTCCTGTCTAGGATTCTTCCTGCCTGTCTGTCAGGCTTCCCAAAACATCACCGGCCAGCCCTGGGCTCAGGGGGCGTCCTGCCCACTGAGACCTCTGTTCCCCATTGCTCTGCAGCCGGTGCTGTGACAAGAAAAGCTGTGGGAACCGAAACGAAACGCCCTCCGACCCCGTCATCATCGACAGGTAAGGTGGACTTCTTTATTTCATTCAAAACAAAACCGCAGCAACAACGGTAGCCAGCCGTGCCTGGTTTCCAGTTGCTCCGGGTTGGTGTTTTTGTTTTTTTGAGTCCGGTGTTGAGCTCGCTCTGTGCCCGGCACCATTTGTTGTCCGCATGTGCTAGCGTGCACAGGTGGGTTGACTTGGAAACCTGGTGGCTCGCTCTGTGGGGATTCGGTAATTGCTTGCGAGTTGTCAAGGGAAGCAGTTTCATCTGCCACTGCTCTCGCTGCGAGGAGCGCTTTATGCCTGGCGAGTTCCTGGCTTTAAACCCAGAGATATGCCACAAAATGCTTTTTGCTAATTTGTTAACAAGTATTTCATCTTTGCATTGTTTTCCTCCGGCTGGCCTGATAGCTTCTGTGGAGACGTGGGTGGTGAGCTGGTGGCATTGTCGCCTTACGTTGGTGGAGAATTTGAGCTTGCTCTCAGTTACTTGCAAAATGTATCCTCGCCCCCCACCCCCACCCCCCAATCATGGCTGTCCTTTTCTGTCAGGTAGCAAATATGTAGCTAACAAACCAAAGTTGTTATAATTGTAACTAATTGCACACGCTGGTTACACTTTGCGACGTTCATTTCCATAACTAGATCAGCCGTGTGCTCTGTGCTTTTGCTGCTCCACTCCTTGCTATCCGTCATCTTCCTTGGGCCCTGCTGCACCCTTTTAAGATACCAGTCATTAGTCCTAACAGTGCTAATGCGTGTTTGGCTAAAACAGCAACACCCCCCACCCGCTCTCCACTCCCCTCCTAGAAGGCTCTCCCTGGCCACTGGGTTTTGATGACCTGGATGTGTGTGGGGTCGGGGTGGTGGGGGTGATGGTGGTGGCGTCGAGGAAGACCTCTTTCTTCCAAAGGCCCCTCTTGTGATTGAGTGCAGGTTTTGCCGATGGTGCAATTGGTACCCAAATCGCATCCATGCTCGACGCGTACATATGACACCACTTTCATGAAGCTGAGGTTGAGCCTGTTTTGAAGAAGGGTTGGATTTCAGCAGCTTTCATTACAAAGTTATCTTTTGATCATGAACTTTGCTGTCCAGGGCCTGAAAAATTAAACCCGGAAAAGTCCACGAGTTAAGCCTAAAGAAATACGCGCTCAGAGTGAAGAGCAGGGCTGATGTTTAACTAGCTGGAATAGCTGTTTGCTTAGTGGGGAATGTTCAGCATCTGACAGAAGGCCCGGCTCTCTTGTTAGTAATCAAATAGGGTTGACCAGTTGTGGCCGTCACTCAGGCAATTGAGAACAAGTTCAACACTTTATAGAACTCCAACTGCAAAAATCAATATCATTATATTTGTCTTGAGTGTTGTGGCCGAGGAAATCACACCGCCTCAGATTGTTGTCTTGTAACTGGATTTGTTTGATTCTATTCTATTTATTTGTTTATTTTTGATTGGCTCCGGCCGTGCAGTGGCCGTGGAACCTTGTCTGCGTGTCAGCCACTCTACCAGGCCATGCAAAATTGGGCAAGTCTGCCTTGAGTTGTCCTCCATTTGTGGGAGGTATGAATTCAAAGCGATGCCTGCTTTTTTAAATGCGGAGGCTCTGCGTGCCCCAGGCTTGGAGCAGCCTGCTGGTTGGCCTCGTGTTGTAGAAACTGGGCTTTCTCTTCAAAATCACTTTGGATCTGTGTAACGCTCAATTGTTTATTGACTTATGACTCTTGATGCCGAGTGACTCCTGATGCTCTACCTCTCTCTCTTTTTAAATCACACGATGGGCAGTATCTTCCCCAGATTTGTGGAAATATGCTCTCCCGTGCTTGATGGAGTGAACGCTCTCTTACATTCGATTAATTAAAATATGTGTCACAGGCCACTTAGGCCTAAGAGAAGTGTACTACCATTTGATATTCTAGAAGCATGAGAGGTGGGAGTGGGGGGCGGGCGGGAAAGTGAAAACATTTGGTTAATGGGTTCACCATGTTTATTTGAATAAGGAGGTTGGGAGCTGCACTTATGCCTGGCATAAATGCTTTGGAGGTCTTAATTATTGATGAAGAAATCTGCTCGGCATCTAAATTCAAAGATAGGACAGACCATTTTATAGGAATTTTAATCACTTTCCCTGGTAGGGGCTTTAAGGTAAGGGTGGTTTTATGTACCAACAAGCAGAATGCACATTTTTAGCATTCTTAAGAGAGCTGTCACTTGTAATGACAAAATACTAGGAGCGTGTTTCTGTGTGCTGCGAGCCTCTGTGTGAGGGCTGCCCATTGGGTCCGCTTTCCGGTTTCAGGCTTTTTTTTTTCTTTCCTAGGGGAAGAGAGACAGAGTTTTTGTTTACGGGGCCAATAGTTGTGCTTCTCAGCGAGAGAGGACGCGTCTTTGGAGCGAATCGGGCGCTCACAGTTGAGCTGAGTTTCCATTTCACGAGAATGATCATTTGGGTGGGTGTGTGCTACCACTTAAATTAGTTACTGAAGTGGGGTTCCTAGCCAGGGTTTCCCCTGGAGTATCGCAGAATAAAACAGCCCATCACATCGGTGAGTCTGTTCACAGGTTCCCAGCAGCCATGCCGGCACTCGTCACTCGGTTAGTTGGCTTAAAAAAGAATTATATACAGTGGGCTTCGCCAGCTCCTCCTGCCCTTTGGATACGTTTAGCAGGTTTTGACCAGATAAGGCATATTTATCCTGAGGATATAAACCAATAATTCCAACCTGAATTGAGATCCATGAGCCCGTTCGTGGGCGCCCACCCCTCGCCTCTTCAGGCAGGCCGGGGCACTGCTCCGCGTGAGGCGAGTGGAGCCAGGAGCTGGAGAGTCACGTCCGTGGACTCTGCCCCCTGGACGCACATCAGTTAACCCCTTCTGTTTCCTTGCCTTCCAGACGCGTAAACCACTTCTGAGCAAGAACGAGGGGGACAGTGGGGTGCTCAGCTCAATGGTCATGGTTGTGCAAGCTTGACTTGGGCTCACGCTTGGGGTCTTTTACTTCATGCCATGACCGTCCGTGGACCTGATTGTCCGGCAGTGTATTGAGGGTCACCTCCCAGCTCCTGTGGGGAGGGCAGCTCATGACATTGAGACGTAAAAGGCTCCGTCAGTGAGAGATACAGTGCGGGGAAGCTGGGCAGCCCTTCCGACCTGCAGAGAGCAGGGTGAAGAAAGGAGAAGGCATGGCCCACGTGTGTGTACGCACCAGTGCACACACCACCACAGATGTGCATGTGCACACAGGTGTGCACACACTACGCACATATATGTGCATCAGCACAGGCGGGCACACACACGTGCACATGTGTGCAAGTGGACAACCCACCCACTTGTCCATAGGGGTCTACATATCCGTGTAGGTGTGCCCACGCACGCGCGCGTGCATATGTATATAAGTAAATGACTGCTGGCCCCTGAGTGTGCGCACGCCCATATTCTTTGTGCCGAGAAGGATGGGAATATCCTTTCCCCTGTGGAATCCTGTTTTCTGGGAAAACACAAAAGCAGATGGTGTGAATTAGGAACACCCATTGTCCACAGATCCCAGCTCTGAGCAGATAAATCTCCTGCTTCACCCGTGCATTCCAAGGGCTGTAAATGATTACAGGATGTCGGCTGAGCTGCTAAACAAAACCACACTCGGCCATCACCTTGCCCTCATGCCAGGCCTGCTGGCGCAGCGGCACCGCGGCGCACTCTGGGCAGGTGTGCCCACTGCGGCCCTGCCGGGCCCGGCCCAAGTGGGCCCAGGGTCCAACTGTTTCAAAAAGAAAGGCAAGGAGGCCTGCCCGGCCAAGGGGACTGTCCAGGCAGGCCGTGGCCACACGCGGTGGGCTGCGTGCAGCTCCGAGCAGGCTCGGCAGGGCGCTTCCAGATGGCACCGTCTCAGGCGTCCTGCTTGCTGGCATGCCTGCAGCAGACTTGCCCCTCCCCAGTAAATCTGGCATTAGTCTATAGAGTTTGGGAGACTTATCATTCCAAGAGAGTCCTACTTTCCTGTCTGGAAGCCAGACATCTGTTTCGGGCATTTTCCTTCGGAGTGAGTTTGGAGGAGCGTCAGG